ATAAAAGCAGGATGCACATAAAAGAATCAGTTGGAGGTGTCAGTATCAGATATATTAAACATAAAACACAACTTTGAAGAAAATTAAAGAAAATGTCACTTTAAAATTAAAGTAGTGATACAAACTTGTAAAATAGTCTTCATTAAACTAGTGACACAATGATAAATAAAAGCACATGGTTATATATCAAGAATAATAATTATTATGAATGTGTATTATTTTATTAGTATGTGTTAACATTAATTATATATAATAGTGTGTACTTCATTATGACATTTTCATACATGTATATAATGTATTTTGATTGTGTCCACCTTTACCTTCATGTTTCAATTTTTTTGTTTTGTTGTTTTGTGATTCAGTAGGTGAGTTTAGTTTGGATTGCTTACAGGAACATGGGTATGAGGATATTTACAGGACATGGCCAGCTAAACAGCACTTACATCTCTGTAGAAAATCAATCTCCTTCCCTCCCTCCATTCCTCCCTTCCTTCATCTCTCCTTCCCTCCCTCCCTCCATCTGTCTCTCCCTCCTTCCCTTCCTTCCCCCATCTCTCTCTCCCTGCTCTACCTCCAGCAACCTTTGTTAGCTGTCTATCATCCTCAGGGAGGGGTGGGGCCTCACGAGCCCCTCCCCATCCATGAGGGAATGCTGACGGGTCTAGGTTGTGCAGGCTGTGGCCAGGGAATCATGAGTGCTGTGAGTGAGTGAGTACAATGTGTCTAGAGCCCAGAGTTCCACAGCCTCCGCCCTTTCCTCTGCCTCTTTGCAGCCCTCTTTTGTAATGCTCGCTCAACCTTAGAATGGACAGTATAGACGCCTCACTTATTCTCAGTACTTTGCCCGGTTAGGAGTCTCCGAGTAACTGCTACACACGAAACAAAACGAACCTTCTCTGGCCAAAGCCAGCAGCACTGGTCTCGGGACCTAACCATTCATATTTAGAAGGCAGTTTGACTGGCGACAATGAACTTTTTAAGACTAACAGTCAATTTTTTGTTTGTTTGTTTGAAGTAAGCTCTTGCTACTGATGGCCTAGATTCACTATATACCAAGCTAGACGTGAACTTGCAGCAATCCTCCAGCTTCAGTTGTGGGCAACCGACACCATGCCGAATAAACAATCCGGTTCATGATTTCAATTCAAAGAATATGCATATGCTATTTTAGTTTTTGAGGAAGAACTTTACAATTGAAACTAGTCTTGATTGAAACTATCTTATATGCCCCCAACATGGTAAGACCTATTTTCTCAATAAATGAGTTAAAGTGATTATTTTGCGACACTCTTTTACCTCTGAAAGGTAACAATAAATGTTCTAGTTGCTTTAGGCCAGTGGTTCTCAATCTTCCTAATGCTGAGACCCTTTAATACAGTTCTTCAGGTTATGGTGACCCCCCAACCTTAAAATTATTTCATTGCTACTTCATAATTACGAAGTTGCTACTGTTGTGAATTGTAACGCACATATCTGATGTGCAGGATATCTGATATGCATCCCCAAGGGAGTCTAGACATGCGGGTTGAGAATCACTGCTTTAGGCAACTGGAACGCAAGTAAAAGTGTAAGCTGAGGGTGTTGCTACCTCTAAGCCCATGGGGACTAAGGGAGAAGAACCCTGGAGACTTAAAGGCTTCTTAGAGGATGTTTGGGTTGAAGGGCATTAACTTGCCATTGTCTCATGACAGAAGAACCAGAAGACACGTTCCCTTCTCCTTTTTCTCCACCTTGGATGCTCTGTTGACACTAACTGAGTTCAACTGGAAGGAGAGGACAGGAACTCACTGATGTCACTGATCAGTAGCTGCCCAGGGCAGATGGCAGGGGAGGGAAGGTTGGAGAAGAATCTTGAGGAATAGATGGGAGGCATCTGGCAACTTGTCTCACCTCCAGGAGAGATTTTATATTGACTTCATGTTTTTAACTATGAATCCTTGGTTCAAGATTACATAGAGACCAATTATTTAAGGTGAAGACATTCATTAGCATGGAGACCTAGAGCCCACATTCTCCATTGAAATGCCCGCAGACCACTCTCCTCTATCCACATAATGTTCCAGGGATCCATGCATTGTGATCCTCAAAATCCAAAGTTGAACTGTTGGATATAAACACTAAGATTTCTCTCATCAAAAGCAGTGTTACACTAAACAATTTCACAGCTAAATCTTGGCATAGAACATTACATTTGCCAAAAGGCTTCTAGGACTAGAAGAACCATTTCAGACGAGGGGGGTCATCTTCATTTCTTTACTTCTTTCATCATCCTTCCAAGACACTGTCCATTCAAATGCTGCAATGTGCAGTGCTTGAGAAGGCCCGCTTCTTCCACATTCTTCCCAATACTTGTTACAGGCTTTTTATCAGATATTTTGTGTGTATGTGTGTGTGTTAGATATAAAAATAATGCCTTGGACTGGGGAGAGGGCATGGTTGGTAAAGTGCTTGCCATACTATCATGAGGATCTGAGTTTAATCTCCAGAATATACATGAAAATACAAAGATAGATGATAGATTGATAGATGATAGATTAGATAGATGATAGATAGATAGATAGATAGATAGATAGATAGATAGATAGATAGATAGATAGATAGATGATTGAATGATATAGGTAATAGATAGATGACAGATAGTTAGATAAATGATTGCTGATTGATAGATGATTGGTAGATGATAGATAATTGATTGATAGATAATAGATGACTTATAGATAATACATAGATAGGCATATAGGCAGATGATTGATTGATCAATAGATGATAAATAAATGACAGATTGAAAGATAGATGATAGATAGATAAGTAGATAGATAGATAGATAGATAGATAGATAGATAGATAGATAGATAGATAGATAGATAGATAGATATACATAGTAACACATATCTGTTCTTCTAGTGCTGAGAAGATGGAGACCGACAGATTCCTGGGGCTCACTGACTAGCTAGCCCAGCTTAATAATGGAACTCCAGGCCGATGAGAGACCCTGTCTCAAAAAGCAGGGTGGATGCTCATGAGAAACAGTACTGCAACTCATCCTTTGTTCTCCACACATGTGTGTACATACTTGTACATGCAAACATGCATTACACACACACACAGATTTCTAAAAACACTCTTATTAATACAACTTGAATTTCTTTTGTTACTTATCAGACTTTTTTATATGTATATGTATACATATTTTATACTTATTTATTGGTCATTTGAATTTCTTTGTTAATCATGTCTGCTTTCTTCATTGTTAATTGCAAAGGCTCTTTATATGAATAATATCAGTGATAAATATCCTGTGTGCATTTAGTTTGGTATTTTAAGACATAGAAACATTCAATGTTTGTGAAAACACATCTATCAATATTTTCTTTGAAGATTTCTGAATTCTTCCCTTGATATCTTCTGTAAAAAGTTCCTCATCTCAAAGTGGTTTATTTTTGGATGAGCTGCCCTGACTTCTTTGCCCTTTACTAGAGGAGACGTAAGATGCAGAAAGGCCCATGATGTCTCTGTGAGCTCAGAAACCAACAAGCAAAAACACAGGTATTTCAAATTGCTAGATTGGGGCAAACAGTGGAGAACTTCACTCTCAGCATCAAAAGCCAGGGAGGACTGTGACCTGAGAAATCATATTATCTTTCCCTATTGTCAAGTCTGATTTGTTTTCAAGCAGGCCTAAAGCACAGGCAGAGAAGGCTCCCAAGAGATTGAGTTTGTCAAAACCACAGACTTCAGGACCTGGACCTGAAAGCTTCCCCATCCTCCAGGAGGGGCCACAGTCTCTCTCAGACACAGGTATCTACAAGTCCCAACAGTGTTAATATCCTGGTTAGGTAAGCTCTTGTTTCTATGTGATTGAAAAGCAACTGTTGGACCAAAAGAGCTATTTAAAAAAAAAAAAGCGTAGGGCAGGAGGCATGAGAAGTGAGGAAGGAAAGCCTACCCACCCCCAGCCACATGCACCTGGCAAAGCCCCCCTCCCAAGGGGCCACTCCTTCCCTGGACAGCTGGTGTTTCCCCCCCCCCCCCCGCCCCAGGCCTGGCCTCCAGCCATAGACATGCTCCAAATGATGTCTCTCCTAGACGGATCTTTGCAGATGCTATTTTGATAAAGCGCTAATCCTTCCCCTGCTCTTCCACCGTTAACCCTCAGCCCCCTGCCTTTGTGTTTGTGAGCCTGTGCGGTTGGTGAAAGGAGGGGGCAGGAGACAGGGTAGCTTCAGAACCGGCAAACACAGTCTCCAGTTTCATGGGCTGGAACAATGCAGGGAGATGGCTGTCTGGTCTCAGCTATTGGAGACAGACAGACAGGCCACCCTATCTGGCCCTCCACTGTCTGGGAATCCAACACAAGAGAGGTTGCATGGAATACTATGAATGTACTGACCCGTTTCTTCTAGGTATAAATACAGATTTCATTTTCCATCTCCTCATCTCCTCCAACCCCCCCCCCCCACACACACACAGAGTAGCCAGACAAAAACCTTCATCAGTTGTACTGTTGGTAAATAACAAAAATAATGTATAGGGCATGAGAGTAGGTAGGTAGATGATTGGTAAGTAGATAGATAGATTAGATAGATGATGGATGGATAGATAGATAGATGGATGGATAGATGGATAGATAGATATGTTGCTTATCTAAAATTCAAATTTAACTCAAACCATATGGAATGGGGACAGAATTATTTGCATTTTATCTAAATCTGGCAGCCCTGTGGCCCGCTAAAGACATGCTCTTTCAACTCCATTTTCTTCTAAACAGGTGCTCAGTGGTATAGCACTTGCTTAGCATGCACAAAGCCCAGAGTTTAACCCATTCTCAGCATTGAAAATATAATGGAAAACTCTTTGTAACAGTATTAGTCACAATGCACAAAAGTTCTCATATACTATGTCCTACCTGGACATTATACTATTGCACAGATGCTTATGTTTCTTCATACATGTGAATATGAATTGTTGCCGGGGATGAAGCTCAGAGGTTGAGTACTTACCTGGCATGCAGAAGGCCCTCGGTTTGGTCCCCAGTTACTAAAACAAGAACAAATGTATTTGAATTTTATTAATGCACTGTGCACACAACCCTATAAAATATGAGCTCTTTTCTTCATCTTCATTTTACTTATTACAACAATAATGATAATAATGAGATGAAAAAGGTTAAAATAGACACAGCTTCGGAGTGATGGTCCTTTCTAACAGCAACCTCAGCTCTCTAAACTCCCTGGTGAGCCCAATGCCCCTGCCTCCCTTCAGCCCACTGAATCCTGCTGGCTGCCCCATTTCTTCTCTGCCCATCAGGGTGAGTTCCTAAGATTCCCATCTGCTAAGAAGGGACATTGTCAAAGCTGGCAGCAGCTGCTGACAAAAGGAACTCTGGAAGCGTCCCCTACGCCACCCCCTTGCAAATTCCACCCATTATTTCACTCTAGGAGCTTTTAAAAGCCCAGGTGTAGGGGCTTTGTCAAGGGAGAATTTAAAAAATAAATGGAGCCAGCTCCCTTGGATGCTGCACGCAGTTCTAGCTTTGGGGAGCGCTTCCAGGGTTCAGCGGCCCATGCAAGGGTTGTGTCTTAGTCCTGACTCCAAGATGAGGGGACCATTGGAGCGGGTGGCAGGGATGCTCCCACTTCTGCATCCACAGGACTCCTAAAATAATGCCAGAAACATCCAGTGGAGTTAGCCTCGTAAGGGAGAACGGACACAGACGTAAACTAGCCAGTTGGGTGAGGACTCACCCTCACGTTCCAAGGCCAGCTGGCCTGGATGAACCCAAGTGACACGTCACAAAACTTCGTGGAGCTTCACTCTCTCCCTACGAAATGACAGTAGTCACCACAAGACAATACCAGTGTCCACCGAAGTGTCCATGAGAGCAGTAGTATACAGGGTCACTGGAGTGACTGGCATGTAAACATTCACTAGTGACAGCTGTAAACATTCACCAGGAAGAACTTTCTGATTAGATTCTTTTGCAAATAAATGAATAAATAATCTATCCAAAATCATTTACCCTTAAGAAAAAAATAATAATCATTTTTTAATCACCAACAAAGTGTCAAATAATTAAAAACTAATTTTCAATAGATACATATTATCTGCTACGGTTTGGAATTATGTCAATGTTGTGGTTATGTTAGGGAGAAGGATCATTTACACCTCTTTGGTGACTCTTTATCAAATATCGAAAGTTCCGGGAGAAAGTGAGTTAGAATCTACCCATTTGTTCTGCAGCATAAAAGAGATATTGCAGAAAATCCTTTTTGATGCACAATGATTAACATGTAACCACAGCACAATTAAGTTCACAGCTGCAGAGATTATAGGAAAGTGAAGAGTAGTTAGGCAAAGATGGCCACACCCTGACCACAGAAGCTATGACTGTGTTCCCTGCAGGGTAAAGGGGACTTTGTGGATAAGGACTTCAGATGGGAAGATGGCAAAGCTCAAGATCAGGAGATGGCCAAGGGTGATTCAGAAGGACCCATGGTAACCACAAAGGTTCTTACAGAATCAGAAAGCGCTGTGATAGGAAGCAGAGGGCCAGATAGACACAGGAGTAGGTGGGGAGGGGCTGCAGAGGGAGAAGCAGTGGGAGAGGGAGAAGGGAGAGAGAGGGGAATTTGAGCTTAATACATGAGGATAAAGCCATAAGCCAAGAAATACAAATGTCTTCTTGTTTGTTTGTTTGTTTGTTTGTTTGTTTGTTTTTCGAAACAGGGTTTCTCTGTAGCCCTGGCTATCCTGGAACTCACTCTGTCGACCAGGGTGGCCTCAAACTCACAGAGATCTGCCTGGCTCTGCCTTCCGAGTGCTGGGATTAAAGACATGTGCCACTACCACCCGGCTCTCACAAATGTCTTCTAATAGCAAGGCAAGTGACAGGTTTCATTCTAGAGCCTGTTGAAGAGAAGAACCCTATGGATACCTTTACTTTGGGACATCTGAACCCCAGGACTGTTAAGAAAACAATTTCATGTCATTTTAAGCCCTTAAATTTGTAGTGATTTATTAGGACAGCATAGTCAACTAACACATAGTAAAGCGAGAAAATAGAAACTTTCAGCCTTACTAGTTTTATTAAAAAGGAGGTATCCAAACACAATAATGAAAAGAAATAGGAAGGAAAAGTGCATTTTAGTAACTGGCATAAACACTTCAAATTGCTGATTGGATGTTTGTTTGTTTGTTTGTTTGTTTGTTTGTTTGTTTGTTGATGCAGTGTCTCATAGCTCAGGCTGGCTGTGAATTTTAAGAAACTTGCAGAAAACCATTCTTCCTCAGTCTCCCAAGTGCTGAGACAGATTGCTTTAAAACATCTCACTAATATGATAAGATAAGCACCTGACCAACAGTTAGGGAAACACCAGGAAGAAACCATCACTTCCAAGAAGTATGGATAAAAATACAGTTTCTTGAGTTTGAGCCCACACTAACCAATGAAGGTGGGAGTTTCTGTCCTGTCAGCAACTCCCAAATACCCGGCAGCTGCTTCCCAAATTACTCCTTAGAGGCTTATATTAATTACAAATGCTTGGCCGGTAGCTTAGGCTTATTAATAAGCTCAGGCTTAACTAACTAGCTCTTACACTTAAATTAACCCATAATTCTTATCTATGTTCAGCCACTTGGCTTAGCACCTTTTCTCAATATGGCATTCTCATCTTGCTTCCTCTGCATCTGGCTAGTGACTCTGCCCTTCTTCCCAGCATTCTCAGTTTGTCTTTCCCGCCTAACTTCCTGCCCAGCTACCGGCCAATCAGCTTTTTATTAACAATGAGAGCAATGCACATTTACAGTGCACAGCAAACCAACAGAGATAGTAGATAGTAGGCCTCACTCACTTTGGAGTTTCTTGTGGTGGCTCAGAAGGAAAGCCAGTGTACAACTGTGCCATGTTAGTCACCCTGGGCATCCCCGGATCTGTACTAGTAGCAAATATGCATACTTCCTTATGAAGCCTTTCTCTGCATAGGAAAGAGGAAAGATGTGAATATGAAGTTAGATTGCTGGTCCATACAACAATGCTCAGAGGGCCCCTTGGAGCAGGCCATAGCATGAATCTCAAGGCTCACTTGTGCTTCCCCAAAGCTTAGTCCTGGGTACATGACCTTGAACTCTTCATAGATCCCATATAACCCCTCACCATCATGACTATTTCTAAACAAGGCAGAGATTAGTAAGGGTACAAAATGTGCCAGGGTCACAGCCACAGGCACAAAGAATACTCTAGCAAGTAAGAGACTCTCCTTAAAATCATTCCATACCCTGTTTACCACCTAATACCCAATCCCCAGGCTTGATACCTTTCTGAAATTGCACTGGACCAATCAGAAATCAGTTGACATCTATTTCCTTCTGCTTTTACCTTTAGTCCAAAATATATGAACCCCAACTGCTTTGGCATTCAATCCTGTAGATTCCTCATGGCCATTTCCCTTCTTCAATATCCCTTGTCTTCTACTCTTGCAATTCCTAACAAGCACTAGACCTCTATGCCTGGGGCCTGGGGGATGAACTACTCAGTGAAGTGTTTGGGATGCAAACATGAGGACCTGAGTTGGATCCCCAATATTCACATTGAAGGGGGCAAAGGAAAGCTGGATACAACGGCACACATCGGTAATTGCAGCTCTGGAGAGGTGGACACAGTAGATTCTTAGAGCTCATTGACCAACCCTCAAGCTGAATCAGTGAGAGACTGTCTTAAAACAAACGAGCAACAAGGTGGGAGATAATTGAAGAGGACACCTGACATGAATCCCTGGCCTTCACATGCATGTGCATGCATATATGACTACATATACACATGAAGGAGAAGAAGAAGAAGAAGAAGAAGAAGAAGAAGAAGAAGAAGAAGAAGAAGAAGAAGAAGAAGAAGAAGGGGAGGAGGAGGAGGAGGAAGAGGAAGAAGAGGAGGAGAGAGAAGGAACACCACCACCACCACTACTACCATTCCAGTTGAGGCCTGGGTTTCTTAGATATGTCAGGGTAACCCTGGTCACCACTACGACAGAATGATTCCCTCCACTTTGCCATCTGTCTGTCATCTAGGTAGCATGTTCTATCTTCCTTTCTCCTATCAGCATCTTAACTTCCCTTTGGGCCCTTTTCTAGAGTCTCTCTGACCTTTGAACCAATGATCCAACCTAAAGCCATGCTTACAGTGCCAGCCATAGCCAAGAATGCTTCAAAACCATCTAGTAGTATCCTTGGGCTGAAGGATGGAGCCCCGAAAAGGCACAGGAAGCTAGAAAGTTCTCCAAACCCACCTTCTCAGTACCACATTGTCCCTGGTTGTCTGTGGCCACCCAAGCTGCTTTTTAAACCACCAATTCTCAACATTTGCCTATAGGCAATTAGGATATATAAGCTAGTCGAAGCAGATGCCAGTTTTGCATGGTTTGTGCCTATCTAAATATTCCACGAACACCTATTAATCTCTGTTTTGTTTATTCAACAACCATCTAGTGTCAGGTCCTACAGCATTCCAGTTGCCTGAGACGGCTATCAGCCTTGTGCTCATGACCTCAATTCCAGTAGGAGAGATGCGTGTGCACCAGGGTCATATATAGTTGCTGCTCTCTCCTTTCTGACTCGCTAGCTTTGCTCATGACCTTCCTTTCCTGGATGAGAACTCACACACATCCTTCCAGATCACCAGGTTCCTTGTCAATTGACCTCCATTCACTGCCATCCTTGGTTTCACAGAGCTAGATTGATATTTAAGGCAGCTACGTTAAGTGCATCTACCCCTCAAACCTCAAGTTACTAGAGGTCAGGGGCCATAATTGGTTAAATTGGGAGACCCAATAAACAGTCAAATTCCTGGCACATAGGAATTTGTATTGGCCCCATAAGTATTTTCTGAACTTGTTTTTGTCCTCAAAACAGTATACTTGGGTGTTGTGTCTATATATAGATATTACACACATGCATGCAGCTCATTGGTTATATGAATTTAGACTTTCCTGAGATTCAGATTCCAAGCAAAAACAATGGTCCCTTCCCACAGAACAGCTGAAAAAAATTAAATATATATATATATATATATATATATATATATATATACATATATATATATGTGTGTGTGTGTGTTTATTTTTATAATATATAAACACACACATATAAACATATGTTTATTTTATATATTTATAAATATGAATATATACATATATATATCAAATTCATAGAACAGTTCCTAATACCTATAACTACTATGTAAATACAATATGTTTAATAGCAATGCCAATATGCTGTATTCTTTTAACCCTAAGCTCCTTATTAAAAGTTAGAGATGACAAGGTTCTATCCTGAAAGGATGTAGCATCTTTGTCTATGTTTCCTGTCACACAACTTAGTTTGCAGATCTGACTTTCATAGAGTCATAGGATTGCAAGATGAAAGTCCTACAATGTGACGGCCAAGGAAGAATGGTTGGAGTAGTTGTGGTCTTATTGGAGGAAGTGTGTCACTGTGGAGGCATGCTTTGATGTCTCATATATGCTCAAGACATGCCCAGTGAGACAGTCCACTTCCTGTTGCCTTTGGGTCAAGATGTAAGGACTCTCAGCTCCAGCACTATGTCTGCCTGCATGCTGCCTTGCTTCCTGCCATGACGATAATGGACTGAACCTCTGAAATGTAAGCCAGCCAGCCCAATGAAATGTTTTCCTTTGTGAGAGTTGCCGTGGTCATGGCATCTCTCCACAGCAATAGAAATCCTAACTAAGACAATGGACTGGCAGCAGAGAAACAAGACCCTGGACTCCCATTCCCACAACTGACGCCCATACCCATCTACCATTATCAGTGTCTGAACGCTTGGGCACATCTAAGTCATTCCTCGGGGGCCTGGCCTTCCCGTGACCTGGCAAGCAATGCCTCTAATAAGGTTCAGAGTGTCTTTTCAGATAGCGGCTGGGGGAGGTAATGCTGCTAGACTCAGAGAGGACGAAAACAGTGGAGTGTTCTGGAGGAGGAGGGAGAAGAGTCATTGATGGACTACAACAGAGGATGCTTTTGAAAACTACCTCCCCCTCAGCCTTGGTTCCCTGGAGATCTTCCCTTTAGTCCAAACACAGCTTTGGTTCCAAGAAGCATAGGAAATGTGTGGTTTCCAAAGGGAAAGAGAAAACGAAGTGGCATCTCTTCTCTTTCCCTTCCCTACCACTGCCAGATAAAATCTCCTTCCAAGTACCCCCCCCCCAGCATGAGCCAGGCCAAGGGCCACCAGGAGCACCAGCAGTTCCCAAATGCAGCAAACACTCCATGTCTGTGAAGCCATTCACAGGGACTCCAGGTCAGCTTTCTTGCAGCCAATGGCCCAGGCTTGTGACTGAGTCACTGCGGTCTTTGGGTCACACTGTGGGTTGCACTTTATACCCCATGGAGAACAGATCTGAGGACTTGCAACAGGAGGGCTTGAGGTTAGACAAAAGGATGCAGCTAAGCACAGAAGGATGAAAAGGCCCTGAGTCTTCTTTCTGGGAGTCTGGGAGAAGAAAGTATAAGCCTTGGAGTAAGGCTTACCTACCATGAAACCTTGGCCCTGGGCAAATGGGTGCCATCTTATAATGGTCTCAGTTATTTTAACTATAACATTGACACCTTATCACATGTATAGCAAGTTTGGTTTATCTGTAGATGGGAAATTATAGTCAAATTTCATATGTAAATAGACTGTACTCACTCTCCTTGGTTTCAGCCAACCCCAAGCAGCCAGCTATTCAAGCCAGCTGTAGCAGCAATCTTAAAAGGTCTTATTAATAAAATCAAACCCGGAGCCAGGTATTGGTTAAAGCTGAAAGATCAGAGAAGCAGAACAAGCCACAGCCACCTCACCTCGCCAATTCCTCAGCTGATCCTGTTTCCTCAGACTGGAAGCCTCTGAGTCCTCATCCAGAATGGATCTCAGCTGAACTGCTTCTTGAAAGCCTGAAAGCTTAACCAGGCTAGTTCCTGGGTTTCATGCCTTTTATACCTTTCTGCTTCCTGCCATCACTTCCTGGGATTAAAGGCTCTTGTTACCACGCCTGGCTGTTTCCAGTGTGGCCTTGAACTCACAGAGATCCAGACGGATCTCTGCCTCTGGAATGCTAGGATTAAAGGTGTGTGTGCCACCATTTTCTGGCTTCTATATCTAGTGGCTGTTCTGTTCTCTGACCCCAGATAAGTTTATTAGGGTGTACAATATTTGGGGGAATATAATATCACCAGACATGTTCAAATAATAGAGATGCTAGCTGGAACCGTCTGGACTGTCTCTACACCTCGCTTCTGTCTTCTGTATGACACTTCCTTTTCTCTGGCTACAAACATGTTGTGATAGGAGGCATTCTGAACCACTTTTTGGTCTGGGTTACTACCTAAGTCCTGGATTATAAACCAATTAAGATCTGCAAAGTGTACATTTGTCATGATTTTTCTCTTTTAGCGCATCCTGTTTCTAAAAGGTCATGGGAAACAATAGATTTAAATAAGTTTGATAAATTCGCTGTGCATGCTTTCCTCCACTAACAGTAAAGAAGAGAGAGTGGAAGAAGCAGCTGCAGAAGATGGGAGGCATCAAGTGCATGCTCATAGACAACAAACCAATAAAGAAGGAAAAGCTAGCTTAGATCCCGAATCATGACACACGACACACGTACATGTACGGAAGGAGCAGGCTGAGGGATGAATCCACTTGACCACTAGGACATCCAACAGGCTCTGAGATGTGAGCAGCACTATAAAAAACAAGGGTAAGCCGTTAACTGAAGACAATTGCTTGCAATTCCCCAGTAGCAAGGGAACCCGGGTCCTTCCCTTTATTTCTCACAGCAAGGAGGCTGCCTGCCTCCCCCTCCCAGGAAACCAAGGCAGAAGTGCCCAGGCAGTGTGGAATTCTGCAGAGACCTCCTACTGCCTGTCTCTCATCAGTCCCTTTTCCCTAGCACAGAGGGCTACGGAAAGCCAGGTGTTCCCCTTGCAGACAAGAGATTGGAGAATTCCCTGGAAAACAAAGAATCTGGAGAGGAGATCGATCTATAGACACTGACATTTAAGGGTCTTCTAATGAGAACTACCACTTGCAGCCTAAGCACCCCCAAATGACAGGACCTGGATAAGTAAAACCCAGCAGCCCAAAGTTCTTTTACCCAACACACACTCCAGCCTGTTTCCTTTTTTTATAAAGTGTGGTCAACATGAAAAGAATGTGGACAAATACGGCTTAAATAATTAGATTAAAAACACCTGTGCCTCCCACTTGACTTGGGAAATAAAATGGCACCAATCACTTTGAATGTTTGCACGTTCCTGCCTCATTGGGTTCTTCCCCATTTCAAAGTAACCGCTATGACCAATTTTGTTTTCATCTTTTTTGTTTTTTTTTTTCTTTCCTTTGTAATTTTACCACACATGAATGTATCTTCAAACAACCCAGTTTCATTGTGTTTCTTTTGAGGTTTACATAAACAGAGTCATAGTGTATTTAGTGTACAAGTTGCTGCATTTGCTCCATGTTATACACTTGAGGTCACACCACACTGAAATGTGGATGAAAATGTCTTCTCTCCAATGGTGGATAGAACAATGTTGTATGAACATCCTGTGATTTATTTATTCATTCTTTTGGGCGTGGATTTTGGGGTTGTTTCTTTGGCTTATGTTGTTATGAAAAATAACACTTTGGTGGATTTCATGTGTGTTTTCCACTTGCTCTGTATCATGGATTCTTTACTCTGTATACATAGAAGCTAGGGTATAAATTTTGCCCATGGTCAACTGTGTAAAACAATGTAAAAAGAATCCCCATGGTAAGCTTGCTTCCTTTCTACTTCATCTGTGTGAGAAACCCCCAAACCCCACATTCTTACCTACCCTTATTGTCAGGGTTGGTTAATTTCTGTTAGTCTGAGAAGGGAAGTGGCCCATGCTATTGGTTTTGATTTGCATTTCTCTAATCACTACTAAAGTTGTGTATTATTCCAGATGTTTAGAGACCACTCACTCATTCTGTTTAGTAAAATGCCTGTTCATTTCATTTGTTTATGTGTGTGTGTTATATGTGTGTGGTGTTTCTATATGTGGTGTATGTCAGTGTGTGGTACATGCACACATGTGTACGCAAGGACACAGGCTCAGGTGGAGGTCGGACGTCAAGCACCCTGCTCCATCCACTCTCTGTCACATTTCCTTAAGACAAGCTCTCTCACTGAACCTCGAGATAGGCTAGCAACTAGGAAAGCCCCAACTTGCTCCTGTTTCTGCTTCCCACCATGTGCAGTGTTAGGGGTGTGGGTGGCCATGTCCAGCTCTTTAAGTGGTGCTAGAAAGTCAACTTCAGAAGAACCAACACATTGATCAATGGAATAGAATTAAGGACCCAGGTGTAAGTTCATGCACCTATAGTCACCTGGCTTTTGACAAACAGAAACAAAGACCCTGCTTTGTATGTTCAATACCTACTGCCATCTTGTGTTTTTGTTTGTTTTGCTTTGTTTTTGTTTTTTATAAAAAGGCCTCATGCACTGGAGGAAAGACAGCATCTTTAACAAGTGGTGTTGGGAAAGCTTGTTATCTCACATAGAAAAGTGAAAGTTGGTCCTTCTCTCTCATCCTGAACACAAACCGATTACAAAGGAATCAAAGATCTCAAGGTTAAGCCTGAAAGACTGACACTTATAGAAGAACAGGTAAGGAGTGCACTTTAGGATACAGACTCAAGTAAAGATGCTCTGAGTGGGATGCTGATCACTGAGGAAATAAGATCAACAAAAAAACAGCAAGACTTCGTGAATTAAAGCGTTTCTCTGCTGCAAAGGAAGCTATTAATCAACAGAAGAGGCAGACTAGGGAACGGAAAACAATCTTTGCCATCTATGCATATGACAGAGGACTCATGTCTAAAATAGATGAGGAGTCAAAAAAAAAAGAAAAAACTAAACATCAAGGAAACGAACAAAAGCTGTGCTGTGGTGGCGCACATTTTAATCCCAGCACTCGGGAGGCAGAGGCAGGCAGATCTCTGAGTTTGAGGCCAGCCTGGTCTACAAAATGAGTTCAAGGACAGCCAAGACTACACAGAGAAACTTCTCTCGAAAAGAAAAAAAAAAAGCCAACACCATTAAAAAGTGCGCTGTGGAGCTGGACAGACAGTTCTCAGAAAAAGAATACAAATGTCTGAAGAAACAGTTTTGTTAAAGTGTTCGCCATTAAGGTAATACAAATTAAAGCTGGTTTGGGACTTCGTCTTAGCCTCGTCTGAAGGGCTAGGATTAAGAAAACAGAATATACCACAAAGGCTGGCAAGGATGTGGGTAGCAGAGGGTCTTTGTGCACTGTTGCTGGGAGTGCACGCTGGTGCAGCCACTGTAGAACTCAGTGTGCACCAGTATGTGGCTCCCCAGAAAACGTAGAAATACATCAAACATGACATATGACCTTATCTGTGCCACTCCTGGACATATACCCCAAAGAGTCTATATCCTGCTAGAGAGGTATGCTCATCCTCTTTCATGGCTGTTCTGCTCCTGATAGTTGAGACATGGAAACAGCCTAGATGTCCATCATCTAGGGAGGGGATAATGAAAATGTGGCACCTATACACAACGGAATTCATCATCTGTCAAGAAAAATGAAATTGTGAAGTTTGCAGATGTGACCCACAGTAACATTATACAAACTGAGCAGGTTATACTTAGGAATACATATGTATATACGTATCCATGTATACATGCAACAATAATGAATGAAAAAAGATGCCATGAATTTGAAAGTGAGCAAGGGGAGGGTATAGGGGAGAGTTTGGAGGGAGGAAAGAGAAGGGAGAAATGATACAAATTATGATCTCAAAAATGAAAGAGGAAGAAAAAGAAAAGCTGTGACTCCATTTGACTTTATGCATCTGAATCAACAATACCACACATACAAAATCTAGTTTATATATGTTGAGTCAATAAATAATGCACATCAGTTTGAAATTGTTTAGATTCAAGTAATTTTAGGCAAATGTTTCGCCTGATTTCTTTGGACTCCTAACAGAGAACACGTTTTCTTTTATACAGTTTTATATCTTTGATTTTTAAAATTTATTTCATACCTTTAATTAAAAAATAAAAAAAGATTCGTCTAATCCAAGGTTTCTCAAAATATAGCTTTTCGAGCAGCAGCAGCACCAAAATACAGAAATGTTCACAAATGCAGAATTTTGGTCCCCAACTAATTTTGCTGAATCAGGAATTCTGTAGGTAGGGCCCGGTGATCTGAATGTTGATGAGTCTCCCAGATGGTTATGATGCACATTTCAGTTCAAGAGTACCTGTCTAAAAGTATCCTGTCGGAGTGGGAAAGAGGAGCATCGGCAGACCTCAGAGCATAGACAACATTGTGCGCGAATGAGGGTTCTCGTGAACATCTTCTTTGTGCAGACTTTTCTCCTTTCCACTTTTGAGGAAGAGTTAAGAAAATTCTTAGCATTGGCTACCCCCAAATCTAGGGGTTGGGGTTTGGATTGAACTGTTCCTTTGTGCAGAACTCCCCTCTGTGCAAAGGGGCTCAGGGCCCCTTCTGGGCTCCTAGAGCACACACTGTGACTATTTCAAATGCTGTACTCTTCATGTCCATTGATAATGAACATCTCTATCACGTAGAATTATTTGCCTATAGATATGCTGAGTCTGGTGTAAGTTCTAAGGAATAAGATTTGAGAACAGGTCTGAATGATTGGTTTGTTTCTTTGGCATCTATCTGGCATATGAGAGCTAAATAGTAAATAAAGAGGGAGGAGAGGGGGGAGAGGGAGACAGAGAGGGGAGGAGGGAAACAGTAAGAGAAGGAAAAGAGGGAGGGACAGAAGGGAAGACAGAGTAAGAGAGGGGGAGAGGGAAAGTGATAGACAGGAGGAAGGAAACCTAGAATTTCCCAAAGATAAGATCATTCTACTATCTGGCTATTTCCAGCTAAAGCTAGAATTCTTAGCTTTGAAAAACGTACAAGTGGACAACCTAAGCCAGACACCTTCAACTGGCTAAGGAAGACACATCTAGAGCCTGTGAAGCCCCACCAATCAACCTCACCTCTCAAGCATGGCTTTCCTCCAGCTCATTGGGAGGAACTGGGAAATGTGGAGACGGGGGAAGGGAATCGAGGCAGCAACTCTGAGAGACAGTCTCAAGGAAATTGCTATGTCTTAGAGTCATGCACACTCTTTGGTACTATCGGGGTGGCCCAGGAACTGATACCAGAGGTCTGTGGGGTGATGGAACTCTTTATTTTACTGAATCTTAAAGGCCACATGGACACCACAGTGATGAATGTGTCTCTGGACAGGAACCTCTGGGGAATTTAAGAAGTAGCCACGGTTTCTTGGATTCTGACTTGGAAAAGATGGTAGTTGAGACACCGTGATGCAATAGGGTTTGGTATTTCAGAAGGTCCAGATGGGGAAAAGTCACCTCTGTTCCAGGAGAGGAGATTCAAGGAAATAGACCATGGGCATGAGAAAACTCAGGAGAGAACGCAGCTTTTAGGTTTACATAATCCCAGCCAAGATGGCAGGAAGATGTACCCAAATATCCCTGAAGGAGGGGGCCAGTGACACCATCTCCTCCCACGCCACCCATTCCCTTTCCCCAGTGACCAGGAAATGTCATCATGGAAGACAAACTAGTGTCCTCATGTCTGCAGCCTTGGGACTTTCCTACATGGAGAGAGAACTCTCGGTTCTGGAATTTTTTTAAAAATCTTTGTGTTGGATGTCTTCCCCAGGCCCAGCTTCCAAGTTGGAGCAGAGAATAAACGAAAGTCAGAATTTGCTGAAAGTAGGAGAACGGATTTAGTGACCCCTAGAGCACCCGTCGGCAGAGGTGATCCAAAAAAGAAAAAGAAGCAGATATGAGGGAGGCAGAAGACAGGAGGCAGTGGAGAGGACAAAGCTAAGCAATGGATCTGAAAAGTTCATACAGGGACATTCGAAAGACGTGGGAAGTGATTCTGGGCGTCCAGTGATTCTGGGCGTCCAGTGATTCGTTCGTTAACTGAGCAGATATATACGGGAAGCTTGCTACCTGTCACTGGCTGTGCTTGGCCCCTGCCCTCTAACAGTTACCATTCACTGAGTGACAGGTAGACAGTGTATATGGAAGTGGTAGTTCTGTACGATGTTGCCAACAGACCTGCCCCTGCCAGATAACATTTTTAGGCACTGTTATATACAATCTTCTCAGTAACCCTCTTGCTAGTGCCAAATAAGTGTTCGCAGTACAAGGAGGTAAGTAACAAGCCCTGTGTGATTCTGATACAAACTATCGGAGTGGGACCAAAAGCCTATGTTCCTATCACATGGCACCAAGAGGCAATATTATTAGTGCTGTGGTCAAGGTCACAAAGAAAAGACAAGGTGATAAGATACCAGAAGAGGAGGGTGCATCCTTCTTCACACAGAGCTGAGTTCTGAAGGACGGTGAGCAAATAACAAGAAAATCATTGTAGCTTGGGCTAATTAAGGGGCTGGGAAAATGAGCTAAATGTCTCTCTTCACCCCTTCTCTTCTCCCCGCCCAACACACACACACACACACACACACACACACACACACACACACACACACACACACACACACACACGTTGATGATGTTTCTCAAGGAAACCCCTACTGATACACCAATCAGGAGCATATCACAACATGTGCATCTTACAATCCTCAGGAGAAGTAGATGCACACACAATGACATTGAGAAATATTTTTCATGCACGTTCATAAGGAAGAGAGCTACAGGAGGATTCCAGGCTTCTCCTCGACTTCACCCTCATCCAGAAACTTCAGGCTTGGTGACACAGGAAGTTATTTGTCAGCATTCTTTTCTGACCCCCAAAGAAAGAGAAAGAGCAGGCAGAAGGTGCAAGGCTTATTATAAACCCCAGGGCAGGAACTATATGCATGACTACTGCTTTGTGCCCTCTGTCTTTGTGTCTAAGAGGACAGTTATGTGGTTAATCTATCTGGTGCAAATGAGGCCTACCTCCACAACAAAGCAGGAAGCCAACGCCAGTCTGTGCTAGAACATGGATTAAGGACATCCAAAGCTCCAACCAGCTTATTCCTGCCTTTCTTAGCCACTCAACAACCAATCAGAGGAAATTGCCAGTGTAAAAGGGACAGGAATGGGTTTTCCTTGGAGAGGACTCTTATTCGGTCAGCGTGCCATTTTTAAAGATTACAAAATTTCAAATTGAAATCCAGTTCCCAGCTTCTCTGCAAAATAACAACAACAACAACAACAAAAACTTCGAATCAGGCGTGCTCTGCCCACATTTTTCACAGCAGTCACTAAGCTGGTACTAGGCAGACGGGACGCTTAACTCTGCTGATCCTCACTGTCCCCTGGGATTTTATGGTGGCCCACTTCTATTATCTCCTTTATGTCTATGGAAGCCTGCCCTGTGCAATCCTGGACCCCAAGCCTCTGGAAGACCTTGCCTATTCATCTAGGGTGCTCAGCAAAAACTCAGCACAATGCCTGGCACACTCAATGCTCCCGTTTTAAGTGGGTGAAGTACAGGCTTCAGCAGGATCTCGCTGAACTGACAATGTGGCTTCTATCGTGGTAGGCGCAGTCAGCGTCCACTTGCCAGCAAGAAAGGGCTGGAGGCAGCTCTGAGGGAAGAACTCAGCCTCAGGCCCAGAGCAAGAGCCCTGGGTGGGGGTGTCAGGGCCAGGAATGCTGTCTGGACAATTTCAGATGACAGCTCAGCGTACCTGGAAAAGGAGCGGGGTGATGTGCTGTGGCCTTGGGACTCATCTAAAGCTCCACAGTAGACAATACCTAATGCTCTGTCAGGCCCCGGGGACTAAGGCCCGGACTGGTGGGAGGGAGAGAACTAGAACTATTGCAGAAGCCAGCTCAAATGGGAGAAAGAATGGAATAAACACCAGCCATCCTGCTTACCGGACTCTGGATTACTTCTGGTTTTCTAGCCAGCCCTGTGTCCTTCCTGGAAGAGGTTTCCGAAGAGCCCCAATGTCCTTGCTCTGTCAGAGCACACCCTCCCCCTGCTCTCTCCTGTTATCTAATCTCCCCCCATGTCCCCTCCCCTCTCTTCTGGACACACTTTTTGCGCTACATCCCTAGGTGCCCTCCTACGTCCCTCTAACCAAAAGCAACCGTTCTTTGCCTTATATTATGTTCACAGAAGGTCCCAAGATCACAATGCCCACATAGCCACCGTGGATCTCAGGAAATACAACAGAAACTTCTAGAACCCAGGAGAACCTGGGATACATCTCTCCCACTCCCTCTCTTCAACCGTGAACCAACTGAGGCCAAAGAAAAACTCACCCACGGTTGCAGAGCTGACCAGAGGCAGAGGAAGACTCAAAATTCAGCTTTTAACATGGGTCCTGTGATGCACATCTCTAATCCCAGCACTTGGGAGGTGGAGGCGGGAAGGTCAGGAGTTCAAGGTCATCCCTGGCTCCACAGTGAGCGTGAAGTGAGCGTGAGGTTAGCCTGAGGTTAGCCTGAGCTACATGTGACCCTGTTTCAATAAGAAATACGTAAATAACCCAGGTCTTAGATTTCCAGATAAAATTTGGTATGCTCAATAAAGCACAGCTCTGCCAGGCAAATCCCCTGCCAGGCCCAATTAGCTTGGTGGCTTTAAGCAGAGAATGGAATAAATGAAAGAACCCATCTACAGAGCACGTCATTGTGCCAGATGCTGACCTATCTGTTCAGACAGCTGAATCTTGATGAGGTGAATGCAAAATGGTACCGTCACTTGAGGTATCACCCGACTCCTGGGTCCCGTAAATGTTTCTCAGTTGTCTAATTGGCCACCTGTAGCTACTTAAATTCAAATTGCTAGAACCCATATAAAACGAACATTTCAGTTCTTTGGAGGTACTTGACACACATTTCAAGGGCACAGTGGCTACCTGCGGCTACCGTATAGGACAGTTCTGATCTGTTCCATGGCCACCAGAGCATTCAGTAGACAGGGACTTGGGGACTTGGAGACTTGGAGACTTGGGGGGGGGGGTCTTGAGGAACTGGGCGGCCAGAGGAATTTGAGTAAAGGTGAAGCTGCTATCTTTGGGGCTACTCTGAATATTCCCCTTTCTTCTTCTCCCCCTCAGAAGATATTTTCTGGGCCTCTTGGTGTGGATTAAAAAATTGTGAACTCCTGATTTAAAAAACTCTGGAAACTTCTTCCGCTACAACAGGGGTCAAGTACCTCTGAGTGCCGCCTGCTGGCCAGACTTCTTGACAACCAGGGCGCCCACAGGAAGGAAGATGTGCCACCTAGAGAGTTCACCACTCCTCCATCCAGGTTCCTGAGAGTGTTCAGCAGGAAAAGAAGCCTGAAGAAAATGGACATTGACGCATTCCCGACCCTTGGTAGTCCTGAGGGTTGCAGTACATAGGGGAGGTCATTGACCTGCTAAGTGTCCCCAGAACACCCGATCTTCAACCTGGACCATTTCAGATGAGGCCTGGCTGGCTTTGGCCCCTAGCTCCAAGTTCACAGCCCTTTGCTCAGCACACCAAGGCCAATGGTGTTAAACCGGGATCTATACTGTCCGCAGAAAGAGTGTTCCTTCAGCCCGTGGCTCTCTATCCAGAAGCATGAGGCCAAGAGCCTGGCGATGCCTGTGCCCCTCCTGTGTTGACACTGGAACTGGGAGAAGACTCCTCCCCCTGACTTGGGCCCCTCCCTCTTCTGGGGGTAGCCAGAAGGCTGCTTCCATTGCCAAACACAGAGGCAAACAGACACTAAGGAAGAGGGAGTAGGAGGCAGTTAAAGAGGAAGAAAAGCAGGGAGGAAAAGGAGCAGGGGTCCAGGCCAGCTGAGGGAGAAGGGGATGAAAGAGCCATGAATGATGAAGAGAGAAGAGAGACAGATGCGCAAAGCCTCAGAACAGAGTGTCCCAAGTTGCAGTGGGTGACATGTCTGTGCAGCTGGTTCCCGCCTCCAAGCCCAGTCTCCCACCATCTGCTGGGCCAACTCTTTTTGGTGGCAGCTGGTCAATAGGATCCGGCAGAGACCAGGCAAGAAGCTTGGGGAGAGAGGGTCTGAGGGGAGAGACGGGAGAGGACCGAGCAGGTGAGCTTCCAGCTTCCTTTCTTCCAAAGCCCTGGAGTGCTCACTTGCTGACATTCCTTCCACCTGGAGGCTGAGGAACTGAGAAGTAGTGTCCCTCAGAGCTGGGGCGGGGGGGGGGGGGGGGGGGGGGGGGAGCAGGCTCTGCACACAGTCAGAGCTGTTTCCACCCAAACCTTGGCTCAGCATCCAGCAAATACTGAAAGGGATGTTGGTGGGAACAGGAGCAAGGACAGAATCTGGAGTCTACTTAAGATGAAAAGATGGCCAGTTCAGGGACCCTCACCACTATTGCTTGGAGTCTTAGCTGGGTTCATCCTTGCGCATTCCTGGGAAATTCCCTAGCACCAAGCTTCTCCCTAACTCTATAATGGTTCCCTCTATCAAGATATCTCTTTCTTTGCTCTCCCTCTCTGTCCCTCCCTCAATCAGACCATCCCACTCCCTCATGCTCTCCTGCCACCTCCCCTTAAAGGCTCCCAATTTACTCAGGAGATCTTACCTATTTCTACTGTGGGATACCTTGCTCAGCCTCAATACAGTGGGGAGGGGCTTGGTCCTTCCTCAACTTGATATGCCAGACTTTGTTGACTCCCACTGGAGGCCTTACACTCTCTGAGGACTGGATGGGGGGGGTGGAGTGGGGGAAAGGTGGAGGGTGATCGAGAGGAGGGGAGGGAAGGGGAACTATGGTTGGTATGTAAAATATAAAAAAAAAAACTTTTAAATTAAAAAAAAAAGATCATCAAAAAAATAAAATAAAGATGAAAAGATGGGCCCTGAGTCCCACCTGTTGGAGCCCATGCATGCCATCCTATCACGCTGATGCCTTTATTTATGTATTAACGGTATTTCTACATTGCCAATGCTTTGCAGCCTCCTCTGATATCAAGGTCTTTTCATACCTCAACACTCAACAGGTACTTCCAGAAACAGTTACTTCCCCCAAAATGTTGTGGCTGGGGATTCAGAAGATGAGCAGGTAAAGGCCATTTGGCTCAGTGGTTTCCAGCCAAGGAATTCAGAGTCTCGCTTCTCAGTGCAGCAATAACTCCCCTGGTCCATGATCTCTCCTAAATGAGCACCATTTGAAATCATCACAGATCCCCCTGTTCCATAACAGAGTCCAAGAGAGCTCCAGCCTTCTTCCATCTCTTCTTAGAGCCTGTGTCTTTTCTGATGAAACCTGGACAGAGCTTTATTTCTCTAACCACCTCCAGACCTGCTTAATTAGACCGATTATCATTGTTCTGTGGGACCTTTGAGACTGAGGCTGCAAGGTAATATTTTCACCAATGTCATGGGCTAGACAGGCCTATGAATACAAAGTCTCAGGGTCTACCAATGGCTTCCTCTTACTCGGGTCTACCAATGGCTTCCTCTTACTCAGCACCTCCTGGGAAAGCCTTGCTGATGAAAACTATCACACAGGACCATTCAAGCTTCCATGAAGTGACTGAGGCTGTGCGCATGCTTAATGGGAAGGCGCCATTCGCGCTGTCCCAACAAATTCACAACTCAATTGTGCCGCCCGGATGGTTCCAAATTCCTCCTACTGAGCCTGATCTCCTTCCAACTTTTTTTTTTCTTAATTATTAAAAACACAGGCCATCTGCCATTCTAGAAGGAGGAGGAGATGGCCAGAGGGCCATAAACAGATCCTTCCCGATGCCAAGCCCTTGATGCTCACCTCTGTCAAGCAGTCTCCAGTATCCCATCTAAAAAAAACTGACTGGAAGATTCCAGGAGGGTTTATGTCTCTTCTCAGAAGAAAATCAGTTGGAAAGGGTAAACACAAAATGCACACAGCTAGGAGCAAGAGGTCAGGATGAGTTAGGGATGGAAACGCCATCAAGAGAATCCGGCAGAAGTCACCCCGCTCCTACCGTCACACCCTACTTCTCCCCTTGGAAACTCTGGCTTATGTACAGGCTTCCAGTCCCTGCTGACTCTGAAAAGAAAATTCAGAGATCAGATTTCCATATTAAAGACTTCCACACTTCCTGGCTCCTCGGCCTGGCCATTTGTCTGAACATCAATAACCCGGGATTAGAATCTCATAGCTTGAATGTAGCCAAAATTTACATTTTGCTTCATTTTCCTGTGAGTTCTAGAGATCCACAGAAAACGAAAAGGATCACCTTGACTCAGAGAGATAGCTGATGGTAAGGCTAGCTTAACAGGGGAATCTTACAACTCACAAAGGAAACAAACATTTAGTCTAATACAAGAAGTCAGTCCGCTTAACGACAGTAGACATAGGCTTATGAGCCCTCCCCCAGTGGCAAAAGACCACAGGGCTCCCAGAGTTGGAGATCACTACTAGTTTCTCACTTAACTTGGTGTGGGGGGGGGCACATGAGTGTGACTGTACATGCATATGTGTGTACATCTAGAGGCCAGAGGTTAAGGTTGGCTGTCTTCTTCAGTCATCTCTCTACCCTATTTTTGAGACAGTATTCTCACTAGACCTGGAACTCACCAATTTGACTAGATTTGCTGGCCAGCAAGCCCCAGAGTTCTTCCTGACCCCATTTCTTCAACGTTGGGAGTATAAATGTACATGTATATTCACATTGTGTGGTGGTTTGAATGGAAATGGCCCCCATGGGCCCGTAGGAAGTGGCTCTATTAGGAGATGTGGCCTTATTGGAGTAGGTGTGGCTTGTTGAATTGTGTCACTGGGCTCTAAGGTTTCAGAAGCTCAAGCCAGACCTAGTGGCTCATACTTTCTTCCTCCTGCCTGTAGATCCAGAGCTCTCAGCTACCTCTCCAGCACCATGTCTGCCTGCTTGCTGCCATGCTTCCCACCATGAAGATAATGGACTAAACTTCTGAACTATAAGCTAGCTCCAAATTAAATGTTTCCTTATAAGAGTTTCCATGCTCATGGCATATATTTATAGCAATAGAAATCCTAGCTAAGATGCATGCATT